TGACAAAAGTGAGAGATCAGTGCTTGGCCAGTTCCTTGACACTTCCCTCTTCCCATCAACATTGTTTTAGTCTTTTTTTTTAGTTTTCTTTGTACAGTTACTAATCAGCCAGTTGAACATGTCCAACAGGCATTGGGATGTCTTTTAAGATGAAGTTGTTGCTTTTGTTGTAAAGCAGTGGTTCTGAAACTGGGGTTTGCGAAATGTTACAGCAGGTTCTTGGGGGGGAAAAAATTCCCTAATGGCGGACAGAGCTATCCCTATGGACCCCGGGCAGCACGGTACCAGCAGCCTACCAAGAGCTAAGCAGATCAAAGCAAGCATATCTATCACATTGAGATTTAAACTTCAAGACTCCTTATAAGAAATGGAAAGGGAGGTGGATATTTTTTTGCTGTTTTTAAAATTAAATAGGCAGCTAGTATTGATTTTAAAATTATTATGAAGAACAAGTTTAAGCTTTGTTGTAACGTGCGTCGTTTGCCTGGACTGCTCAAGACCTGAATGCTTGTGTAGGAGGAACTCTTTGAGTTGGCTTCTTAAATACCTACATGCTGTTTCACATCTGATTCTCCTTGATGAAACATAGGAGACTTGTCTTATAACAGGCTTATTCAAAGTGATACAAGCTACAAAAGTGAGATCTTGGAAGAACATTGCCATTTTCATAATGTAATAAAAATACTTTAGTGATAAATAATTCATAATAAATAGTGTGTAATAAGCATGTCATAAAAACAAATTTTATATTTCCAAGGTCACTGCTTTTATAATTTATACTCAGGTAAAGGAGAAAATCCCTGGAAATATTCATTTTTAGGAGGGAGTTCGTGAGACTTGACATTTTAGTGAAAGGGGTTCACAGGTTGTTAAAGTTTGGGAACCACTGTTGTAAAGGATAGTTAAAGATGGGTGTCCTCAACATATTGTTGGCAGTGTAGCTTGTGTTATCTCACAATCTCTCCAACTGGTCTCATGTAAATGTCAAGGGTGAGTAGATTCCTGCCAGACTCTGCAAGTGAGAAATCTTAGGGAAGGGGATCAGTTGCCCTTAATGCTATTTGGGTCATATTTCAAACCATTGTAGTGTTGTGTTATCTATTGCATTTCTGTCATGTAAGAAGGTCAGCAGCGCCGTGTGATCAACTGTTGAAACCGGCTCTGGAGCTGTAGTTAGAAACAACCATTTTCTATTATTTTGTATTGTATAGTGGAATAGACCAGCATAGAAGATTTGAAAATGGGAGTTGTGTGTTCCATTTCCTTATATTGGTAAGGAGATGATCTGCCAGGTTTGGAGAAATTAAAGCTTGTCAAGTTTTGTGCATATGGAATTAGAAGAGTCCAACATGTGGTAATGAAACTAGAACCAAAGAAAAAGAACAGCATGATCCGAATGCATGTCTGAAATCCCTAATCCTTACATTAATGCGTTTAGTGTTGCTCTTTATCTCAAGGAAATAAAATTATTGGATAAGTCAATACACAATTTGAGGTTTTTAAACCGGGATCCTGCCATCCTTCAGAAATTTCCTGTGTGTTAAGTTCTGCACGTCCTTGAATAGTAACCAAAAGAAATACACACAATCTTCCTTCTCCCTGTAAAAATGTGTTGCCTTTCCATTTGCTTTTCATTGCGTCTCTTCTAGCATACTCTAAAATAAAATTTAAATATAACCTCTCTTAGAATTCCCTGTCCTATTCAAAAAGGATATGAAAGAGGAGCAAGAGATATGTCTCATCCCTGGACAGACAAAATCAAATTAAACTTCTGAATATTAGTCCAAGCCTGTGATGGTTGATATTTGTATTGGCCGTAGAATTTTAATGGGCAAGGTGTACATATTGATTATAACTGTCAAGCTTCAGACATACCGTATATACTCGATCATAAGCTGGTTCATTTATAAGCCGATCCCCCCCCCCCCCCCCCCCAAGATGGATAAGTAAAAATGGAAAATTTTTATAACCTGTTCATAAGCCGACCCTATAATTCAGGGGTCAGCAAACTTTGGCTCCTGGGCCATCAGGATAAGCTGCTGGTGGGCCAAGATGGTTTGTTTACCTCACGCGTCCACAGGCACGGAGGTAAACCTAGGTAAACAGTGTCCCAGCGTGCCAGCAGCTTACCCTGACAGGCCAGGACAGCAACTGGTGGGGAAATTTTTTGGGGGGGAGAAGCTGGGAGTCAGGAGAGCAACCCCTGTGACCACCCCTAGCCCGGGACTCCCATATTCTCCCCATCCCATCCCTTCCCACCTTATCTGGGGAGGGCCAGGGGAGGATGTCTCTGACCTGGTTGCGGCCTGCTCCGGTGGGCCAGACCGGACGGCATGGCTGCGGCCCCGGAGCTGCAGCTGCTTCGGAGGCTGGGGGGAGAGCAGGGTGGCCAGAACTGGAGAGACTGGCCCCGCCTCTTCCCTTCCGTCTCTGCTGGCTGTGCTGCCTTTCTTTGCTCCCTCTGTTGGGGGGAGGGCTGTATCCCACCTCTCCTTCTCTATACCCGTTCATAAGCCGACCCCTGTCTCTGGTGCTTCCCTTTTTTACTAAAAAAATGCGGCTTATGAAAGAGTATATACGGTAATTTGTCAACAAACACACATAATATTTTTGTAAGGTATTATGAGTGCAATTTAAATTCACACCAAATGTCCTATTTGATGTTGAGAAAGAAAGCACATATTGAGACATAGTACTGGATTCCTGTGAGTGCCCATATCTCTTGCAGCAGTAGAACAGGCTCTTTCAGTAAATATTCTACACAAAGCTGTAAGCCATGTGACTCACCATCCAAGAAGATTTAGAAGAATACTTAATCTGAGTTTTCTTTGGGAAACTCTAGAACAGTGAGGATTTCTTACTGGCAAGTTTTGTAGGGTTTTTTTTTATTATTTTTATTTTTTTTCCCTTAAGGGAGGATTTTATTATTCACTATGGTTATTCTGTAATTAAATATTTCATGGGGGAGTGAATGATAATAAGCAGTGTGCTCTAAGAAATATTTTTGAGTTGGACATGACCTTTCATAACTTTTCAGTGATAGAGCACTTGTAGTGACCATTCCAACTACAGATGAGAAACTTTCTAGAACCTTCCTCTTAATTGTAGTCTTTTGAGAGAGAACTGAGTTAGATTGGTTCCACTCCATATGCATCCGAAGAAGTGGGCAGTAGCCCACGAAAGCTTATGCTCTAATAAATGTGTTAGTCTCTAAGGTGCCACAAGTACTCCTGTTCTTTTTGAGTTAGATTGATATGTTGGAGATGGAACAGAGGGATAGGATGAGGGAAAACCAAAACTAAAACACATACTGACTGGGTAAGAGGGCAACGTGTGTGTGTGTGTGTGTGTGTGTGTGTGTGTGTGTGTGTAGTAATACTCTAG